TTGGCCTCCAACGGTCCACATTCACCCCGTTTCTCCTGCCCGGTCCCGCTCGAGGCTCGAGGGAAGGAGAACATGCAAAAGCCCAGCGTAAAAGCGCGGTGTAACGCATTGCCCCCTAGGGCCCAGGGGAAGGGAAATGCATCGAACCCCAAAGGGCCAATTGATGTGCGGCCATGGCACCCTCTTTTGTATGGCATCAGCAGGGATTTCAACAACTTTCTATCAGATGGTGGGCAGTTTAACGTGGGTCTTTCCATCTGAGGTTGCCTCCCCATGTAAGCTCCTCTGAACCCAAGCGAATGTAACCCCCTGTCCAGGAGGCGCTCGAGGGTCTCTCAGGGGCGGCGCAGGTGCGGTCTGTATGGATCCGATGGGTGATGGCAGGAGGCTGTGAGGTTGGAATTCGGCTGAATGAGTAATCCCTACAGCCCATATCCTCAGGTTCGGTGGTTAGACCCCCCTGGCACCCACCCCTGTCCCATCTTCGAAACGGAGGTGGTTGGAGCCCTAGGGAATGGTTGAGTGGACACCAATTGGTGAGGTTGAGTGGGTGATGGCTGACGAATCAAGGCTGAATGAACCTGTCGACAGGAAGCCACTGGCCCAGTGGACATTGTCCTATCCAAACAAAGGCATTTTGGGGTTTTCATTCAGGTGGCTTTTCGACGCTTTTCTCACGTCATTTGCTCCGAGCGAGGAGACCTTACGAGGCCTCGAACGAGACCCCTCTTTTTTGATTATCATCCAAGTAGGCACAGCCTGGCCGTTTGGCCGCTTAGGTGCTTCTCGGGGCTGTGGAGTTAGGGGGTCTCAACTTGTGGGGTGGCGCTAGGTGCGGGCAGCCTGAAGATTTTGTGCGGAGTTTGGAAGTTTCAAAGCTTCCAGATACCCCATGATACATGATCCAATGAAACCTCTCGCTGGCCATGTTTTGATCGCCTGCCTTGGCGAAACGAAACCACAAAGGACAGATACAATTATGCGTGAATCTGAAATTAAGTGGGCTCTTAAAGGCTACTTAATGTTATATACTGTTAACATCTGTTAACTGTTAACCAAGAAACCCCTGGGTCCCAATCAGTCCGCACTTCACACCAGGCCCAAGCAGAGAATGCGCCGGACTCAGAAAATACGTCATGTCCTGACCTGGCAACAGAGGCTGAAGAACCCTCTAGGAGTAGTTTATGGGTCCTATAAAGGTCACTTCGCCTTTTTTTGCTGGGTTCTTGTTGGGATGTCCTCTCTGGCCGTCGGAAGTGGTGGCTGACTTCAGCCCCCCACCGTTCGGGTGGTGGGGGAAGGGTGAGCAAGGAGTCCTTTTTGATGACCGCCCCACTTAACGTGGGCTGTTTTTCGGGAAGACTCCTGGTGTTTGGATCGTGGCCGAGCTGGACCTGTTTGGGCCACCCATGTTGGGCATTTCAACGCCTGAATGGCACGGAATGGGTGCCCTGGTGCGGGCACGGACGAAGGTGCCCTGGTGCGGTCGGGGAGGAAGGACCCGTCCAAGGCGCAAAGGTCCTTGCAGAACGGCTTAGAGGGAGTCGGGGCAGCCAGTTGGGCGGCGGGGGGGTGCATCGGGCCCGGGTGGAGCCGGCGGAGCCGTGGTGCTTTCGTGTCCAGGACTTTCAGCATCACAAAGGGTTTGCTCAAAGACTTCTGCGAAGCACAAAAAAGTCATTGTTCGGGGACCTATATACACTTCTTGAAGTTTGGAACGCTTTGGAACAGCCATTCTTTCTGTTGTTACGCGGGCGCAGTCATGACTTGGCACACAAGAAGCTGCGCTTCGTAGGCCCGACGACGGCGTAGTAAGTCATGACTTGACATGGTGTTTTCTACGGATACCGCGGCGTGCGCTCGCGCGCGCGCTCTCTCTCTCTCTCTCTCCAACTTGGGGGTCTTCACAAGCACCACTTCCGAGTCGTCCTTCTTACCCTCGTCCAAGCAAGCCCGACCAATGGCACCATCCAGACTACCCGTTCGGGTACTCCAGACAGTACTGGGTACTGGGCCCCACTAGGCACGGCAGGATTGGCAAGAAGACCTTTTTCGTCCGGGCCGCGCCCAAGCGGAGACGGGACTTTCTGACATCCTCATGGAAGTGGAGTTTACCACCTCTATTCTAGAGAAGCATCCTCATTCTTCCTGGGCCATGCCATCCACGTAACCCTGATAATTTCAGGGAAGCGAACCTGTGGGGCGACCGCGCCGGCATGCCTGCGGCATTTTGGGATGTGATAGCTTGGCGCAACTGAACCGTGATCAACAGAAGATGGACCAAAAGAATTCATCGTAGATACTGTCCAGGAACAGTTGCTTTGTCAGAGAAGGCATGTGTCATTTTGAGCTTAGGAAAAAAGGATCGAGCCCATGAAAGACCCCACCATTCTCAGCCCTCAGACTTGTCGCAAAGCAACAGCTCCGCAGCATGCGCGTGCTCCGAACTCTTGCTGCCTTTTCCCTGCTGGGGCGCTTTGCTGGTGGTGAAAACTGCGGAGAAGAGGGAGAAGACTGGTGCGCTTTGGAGAACGCACAGGAGACCGTCGCAGCCGCTCGCCAGCCGCAGACCGGTCGAAGAATCGCACCGACCCACACCCCGCTTCCCTTGATCGAGGCGGCATTGAAGAACACGCACCACGTTGGGGAACCGTGTTATTCTTTTGTGTAGTTCATCTCTTTTTCTGGCAAGTATGTGAGCTGTTGCTCCTTCTTTTTTCTTCCCGGTGAACATGTCTTCCTGATGGTGCTGAACATGTAATGGCACCGCGAGGATCCGGAGGAGCTGAGCATTTTGCAGAAGAAATCCAAGAAGGAATGGCTCTTTGGCGGGCCAAACCTGGGCCGGGCCAAACCTGTGGTCTTGACCTTGGGTGGGCCAAAGGTGGGGCTGGCAGATGTGGTTGGGATGGCAGATCTTGGTGTCTACCCTGCGGCTTGGGAGTGGTTCTGAGTCGCGCACCCCGACAGGGAACTCCTGGCATTTCCTTTTAGGGTGTTCTTGGAGCATCTACCCGGTATCCCTCTAAGCCCTGAAGAATTGGGTTTGGCACGGCGAGCGGCTGCATCTTCGCTTGACATTGAGGTTGGCGCAATAGTGCTCCATGCACACGGCGCGGACTCATTGTTTTGGCGACCGATTCTGCCAATTTCAGTGCGTGCTCGCAAGCTTGTGGGCCCCCCCCCCCCCCGCAATGTCATCAGCTGACCCTTTTTGGCGGAAAGGGACGAGGGAGTTCCTCGCATCGCTTCCGCGACGGCCGCCTTCCCGCCCCGAAACTTAGGTGAAGCAGTCAAGATCCAAAGAAGCATGTGGTTCAGAAGGGGTTGCTGTCGCAAGGTCGGATCAAACGGAAAGGGCCCTCAGGTCCCAACGAGGATCTTAACTCCCTTTTGCTGAGCCATGGGAGCGGTGTGCCTATGCCTCGGACGAGGAAAGGTCGAGCCTTTACCTTCTGATGCAAGTGGAGGAGACGACCAGGATGGCTGGTGCGTCATGCAAAATGGCCGCGGAGCCATGGAAGATGCCGTTGACGTGCAAGACAACTTCTTCGCAGTTTACGACGGCCACGGCGGAGCTGAAGCCGTGACCTCTGTGAAAGAAGCACTCCCAAAGCTGTTGGGAAAGGAAAAGGGGCCAGATATGGGCCTCAGAATGAAAGAAGCCTTTCAAAAGGCTGATGCAGCGTTTGTTGGGCCACTTGCAGCAAGATAAAGCAGACGTCCTGGACTACCTCCTATCCTCGGGCGTATGTGCCTGCATCGCTGTGCGAGATGAACACGAGCTCGCTGTGGCCAACTTCGGAGACTGCCGAGCCTTGGCCTACAAAGGAGGATCCTTGACCGTGATGACGAAGGATCACAAGCCATGTGAGCCATGCGAAAAAGAACACCTGACTATGCAAGGGATCCAAACCACATCTGATGGCTACCTGATAGGTGGCCTCTCAGTGAGCCGCGCGTTGGGAGATTTCACACGCTCAACATGGACGAAATGTCCAGGACTATTATCAGAACCAGAGGTGACCTTCTTCTCGGTAGATGCCGACACGGACGTCATCCTTCTTGCCTCTGACGGCATCTTTGAGAGCATGACAAACTTGGACGCTGTCCAGTCGATCAGACGACAGTTGCGGAGAAACCTTGGTTTTTGCAGAGCACGTGTTGAATTTTGCTGATTTCATCGTTTCCGTCCCTCAATGATTGATTGAATTGAATGACATCCTTTGTTTTCGCTTCTCCTGAGTTGTTGTGATCCATTTCTTTTTCACGATCCCCGCAACCGGCGGCTGAATCGCTGGTGAAGCAAGCCCAGAAGTTGAAAAGCGCAGACAATTTGAGTGCACTGGTAGTTGTCTTCCGGATGCCGCCAGCAAAGGCATCAAACTCATCGCTTGGACGGAAGGTCTTGTTGAAAGGACTGGATGCCTAAGCGAAGTGAAAACAGATCGCACAGGAATGGGCAACTCGACCAGCAACAGCAATGCCTGGCGGTTGCAGAGATTTCGTTGAGAATCTCGGACGTTTGACGTTTCAATCGCTTGTTCGAAGTTTGAAAATGAGTCACTCGACTGCTTGGGCTCTAACGGGCAATTTGTCGTTCTTTCTAATCACGAAAGGTAGCTTGAGCTACCTGAGTTCTCCTTGCTTTAGCAAACATGTATTACAATCAGGAGTTGGGATTGTGCATTGAGTTTGGTCCTGTAAGAAATGATTCTGTTCGTCGGGGGGGGGGGCCCCCTGGATCAAATCCCCCGTGCGCCGGTTCACGCCGTCATGGACTTCTCCCAGGGTTCTGCTACCTTTCGTTCACCCCCTCCTCTCTCAAGTCAAACTCTGAGGCAGGTGCTGCACCTGGAGCGTTTCGAGGGACGAGAAGTGGCCGCCGAGACCTGCGAACTTCAGAAGTCCAAGTGCAAGTTGCAGCTTGCTTGGGCGGGTGTTCGCTACTAGTAACAAGTGCATCGCTACTAGGAACAAGTGCATCGCTACTAGTAACAAGTGCATCGCTACTAATAGGAACAAGTGCATCGCTACTAGTAACAAGTGCATCGCTACTAGGAACAAGTGCATCGCTACTAGTAACAAGTGCATCGCTACTAGGAACAAGTGCATCGCTACTAGGAACAA